AAGTGAACAAAGACTCTTTGCCTTCGGCTATAGTTTCATTAAAGGGTAATTTGTCAACGCATGAGCAAGAAGAGTGGCAACAAGTGCTGGGCATTATTTAAATATGCTTCACTTACAAACGTATTGTTCAAGCTAGTTAATGCATGGAAACCTTATTTTTATTTAACAACTTGATCGCTTGGTATTGGCTTAATGGACAAATGCCCACTCATATTGCATGAGCACGTATAATTGCTTTTTGCCATTAAACTTTACTGACGTGCATGCAAGCACCGAGAAATATACCGAGAGAAAAATTTAGAGGTTTTGCCAAGCCAAAGCCACTAACTGAAAACGATTAAAAACACCTTTATCTGAATCGAAAACTTGATTATTAATGAATGAATGGCCATATTTTCAAGTTTAATTTATAACTATTTAATAGTATAGGAAGGTTTTGCATTCAACATCTTGTTGGCAAGAACTGACTGGCTTATTGATATATGCTATACTCCATGTCGTTATGTAGTTTTAAAATTAAATTAGCAAAACTAATTTTGCAGTTAAAAGTTTATATTGGCCATTAAATTGCACGCTTATATAATATTCATTTATAACTATAATTAAAAGTTAAAAAAAGGCGGAACCTTTTAAAACGACAGCGCGCGAGCACGAACAATGGAAATATTGCACGCATTATATAATTTAAACAAATAGAATTGACTAAATTAAGATATTGTGAATTGTTTCAGTCGGCAAATAATTATCTTTTTAAAATGTGGGCCTTTTGGAAAAGTTAAGACTGCATGAAATAAAGTGTTTTGAAAACTATACTAATAAATATACTTTTTTATCATTTTCATTTCACCTTATTATACATACAATGCTGACATTTTTAACCCAAGTGAAAAGTATGTGTATAATTATAAATATGGTTATTTTTCCAAAGTGTATACAAATTTATAACTTTAAGACTTTTACATGCTGAGTTAATTAAACACGTCTTCACTGAAAGAATGGAATCCACAAGTATATGTATGCATGCGGAAATCATAATATTGAATGTTGCATGAATACTGGATTTTAAAGAAGTTTCAATATTTAGAGTCGTCAAATATTTTAGGAACATTGAATAATGCGCTTAAGAAGGAATATTGAAGATATAGGAATATTGAATATATAGGAATATTGAATAATGCAGTTAGGAATATTGAATATATATAGGTTAGGAATATTGAATATATAAGAATATTGAATAATGCAGTTAGGAATATTGAATATATAGGATTATTGAATAATGCAGTTAGGAATATTGAAGATATAGGAATATTGAATAATGCAGTTAGGAATATTGAAGATATAGGAATATAAATTAATGCAGTTAGGAATATTGAAGATATAGGAATATTGAATAATGCAGTTAGGAATATTGAAGATATAGGAATATAAAATAATACAGTTAGGAATATTGAAGATATAGGAGTATCGTATAGATATAGGAATATTGTAGATATAGGAATATTGTAGATATAGGAATATTGAAGATATGGGAATATTGAAGATATAGGAATATAAATTAATGCAGTTAGGAATATTGAAGATATAGGAATATTGAATAATGCAGTTAGGAATATTGAAGATATAGGAATATAAAATAATACAGTTAGGAATATTGAAGATATAGGAGTATCGTATAGATATAGGAATATTGTAGATATAGGAATATTGTAGATATAGGAATATTGAAGATATGGGAATATTGAAGATATAGGAATATAAATTAATGCAGTTAGGAATATTGAAGATATAGGAATATTGAATAATGCAGTTAGGAATATTGAAGATATAGGAATATAAAATAATACAGTTAGGAATATTGAAGATATAGGAGTATCGTATAGATATAGGAATATTGTAGATATAGGAATATTGTAGATATAGGAATATTGAAGATATGGGAATATTGAAGATATAGGAATATAAATTAATGCAGTTAGGAATATTGAAGATATAGGAATATTGAATAATGCAGTTAGGAATATTGAAGATATAGGAATATAAAATAATACAGTTAGGAATATTGAAGATATAGGAGTATCGTATAGATATAGGAATATTGTAGATATAGGAATATTGTAGATATAGGAATATTGAAGATATGGGAATATTGAAGATATAGGAATATAAATTAATGCAGTTAGGAATATTGAAGATATAGGAATATTGAATAATGCAGTTAGGAATATTGAAGATATAGGAATATAAAATAATACAGTTAGGAATATTGAAGATATAGGAGTATCGTAGATATAGGAATATTGTAGATATAGGAATATTGTAGATATAGGAATATTGAAGATATGGAATATTGAAGATATAGGAATATTGAATAATGCAGTTAGGAATATTGAAGATATAGGAATATTGAATAATGCAGTAAGGAATATTGAAGATATAGGAATATTGAATAATGCAGTAAGGAATATTGAAGATATAGGAATATTGAATAATGCAGTAAGGAATATTGAAGATATAGGAATATTGAATAATGCAGTTAGGAATATTGAAGATATAGGAATATTGAAGATATAGGAATATCATTGAAGATATGGGAATATTGAAGATATAGGAATATTGAAGATATAGGAATATCATTGAAGATATGGGAATATTGAAGATATAGGAATATTGAAGATATAGGAATATTGAATAATGCAGTTAGGAATATTGAACATATAGGATATGCATATGGAAAGTTAGATTTCTTAGCTCTGGGGGACTGCATTGGATGTTCTCAACATTTTAGCTTATGTTTGAAAGAAGAGAAAACGGTATTTCAATGAAGTTGATATATTTAGGAGTTTTGTAACAGGAATATGGCTGGCCGGTAGATGTATAAAAAACTCTCACCATGCAGATAAAAAACGTGGTACTGATGAATTGCCTCTAATCCTGCATATGAATAAGCCGGTATTCATAGATTGTTATAATTGAGTTACTGGTATATATGTTAATTAAGTTGCCTTTTGGTTTGAACGCCCCGTAGAGCGCTATTTTAGTCACAGCCTTTTGGCAGCCATTGCATGGATGTGCTAAAAAAGTCTGAATTTGGCTTATAGACAGCAAGTCACGAGGTTAATTAATTATATATATATATATATATATATATATAGAACAAAATAATTTGTAGAATTATTCAATTAATATATATATATATATATATAGTTCACCTGTCATCTACTAGTTTTTAATTCGTTTTTAGTTCGTTATTGTATTACAATACCGTGAAATACCGTGAAATTTCAAAAATGTATATATTATATTTATATACACATCAGAACCTATAGCCCTTAGACTGCGATTTAAATGAAGGTTAATGCATGCATGAGAGGCAGTAGCAAAAGCGAGTTTGAACAACTCTCATGCCTCGGTGAAACTCCTCGGAAAGTATGATACTGAGGCGACGATGAAACAAGAGCAAGAGTTGTTTGAGAGTTGACTAGATATTCCCACATTGTAAAACGTTATAAACGCGAGCAAAAACTCTCATTAACTCGCATCAAAATTTGAACCAGCTATGAATTTGAACCAGCATGCGCCATGTCAGTTGATGAGAGTTGTCGTATAAGCACGACAGTTGCAACTTTCATCCTTGTTTGACAATGTAAAGCCTATGCATGTCTTGATGCTGCACATATATTATAATCAATATTCTTGACAAAAGTTATTAAAATCATGACATTCACATGCTTATGACGATGAAAACCTTATAATATATATTTTAGTTACTGAAAAGCTTTATGTACAATTATGTACATTTCGTAATGTGTATAATAAAATCGCACAAGAAGTGTAAAAAGCAATTACATGCAGTTCAAAGAATATTAGTTTTTCTGGACAATACATTTGAAAACTGCTAATTAATGTCACTCGTTATTGTTTAACATGGTAACCGCTACGAATTATGACGGTCATCCCACGAGAAGCCTGTGAACAAATTATCACCTAACTGGTGCCTTATTCTAGCGAAATATTGAATTATAAACTACAATAGTTCTCTGACGAGGTGCCTTTTTTAGTCTCCCCACGCTATAAACCACGTTATTCCAGTTTTACCGATTTCACAACTATCGTGTGAAAACAATCAATGAATTTGTAAAACCAGGTACCAGCAATGTACTAATGAAATTTTTGTTATTTTATTTACCAAGTTTTATTTTGAAAACAAACACAGGTTGTAAGTCTTGGTTTCAATGAAGCATCGTGTAGTTTGTGTTAGTTTGAACAACGGCCCCGCAGGACAGCGCAATGAGCGCCAAACAAACAAACTAAATACCCGTACTTTCTTTGTTTGTGCTTGTTCAGCCAAGGCAAACGAATTCCCGCATCAGTCACCCACGTGCTACTAAAGTCTAAATGCAAGCAAAAAGTGACAGAAGCTCATTGACCAACACAACGTTTCTTTACAACCTAAATTTTTATTTCTTTACATTCGCTCTAAATACCTTTTTAGGATTTACCCACCGCAAACGAACTAACTTGCTTGCAGTAATACAGAATTATTGCCCTCAACTTATAATAATATATATGTACACATTCAATATTGTTAGGTTCAATATTATGCCATTAAATCAATAATATTTGGCCAACTGCTAAAATATTGTCAAATGTTGAGAGATTATATTTAAAATATTTTGAATATAGCTGCAATTATAGAATCAGTCATGCGTCTATAATTCTATACTTGTATACATCTTAATTATATAATTATATAATTGGTGGTCTGCAAAATATGTGCGCGGTTTATTTTCTTTGACTTTAAGTAGTTTTGTAGATTTTTATTTCATAGTTTATCCACATATCGTCGATACAGCCTTAGTACCACTTAACTGTAGTCTTGAAACATTTCACTGATAAGTAGGCAGTTGTCTCCTCTTATTTGAATTATTTTATCTTGTAGTAAATCATGGGTTCACTGTGTGTTTGAATAATCACATAATCATCTAAATTTGACGAAATCTCTACAAGTAGCTCCAGATAGATGCTTCTGTATTTTTCGATTTAGAAACTCTGTTCAGTTCCAAGCGTTTCCTGACATCATTTCTTTTCTTAGAATTATTTAGATAACCTCGGTGAGGAATTTCTGGACTTTTGTTACCATGACGACTGTATTCGTGGGATTTGGGGAGAATTCTGAGAATAAATGGATGTGAAGTTTCACCGTTATCACACATGTCACGCCTGTCAAACGTTTCATGGAAATGATCGTTCTCAGTTTCTTTGTGTATTTCATCTGATTTGTTACATTTTCTAACGTCATCATCTAACTTTCTCCGAAAATCTTCAAATTCTTCCCAATAATTTTTTCGAGAACATTTACGTCTCTTCCTGGAATGTAACTGTGTAGGTCTTTTTTGCCTAAAATTTCTTCTATGTTGATGTTTGCTAGTAGAATATTCATAAAGTTTCCGAGAAGTTGAGCCGTTTCGCTTCTTCGTGTACTCCTGGTGTTTCCCAGAAGTTTTGCGCCCTTTCTGGGACTTTTGAAGCTCCCCCTCGTTGATGACATTAGTAAGATATTGGTTTATACGCTGTGTAATGACACATTTATCGGCTAAATTCTGCGGGCGTTCGGTGATTTCGTTTTTCCTAACTGAGCTGTCTGGCACATAATGTTCCAATTGACTACTCACAGAAACTTCGTCATTATCGACCATGTTCTCACCGTAGTTCACCTTGAAACATTCCTCCATCGTCTTCTGGTGGTTTTTAGACGACGATTTTTGTGATGACCAAGATTTGCTAACTTTACGAGAATTTTTATCCAATTTCCCAATACTGAACGAATTTTTGTACTGAGATTCATCTATCACATTGTGTGAGACGTCTTCAGTGTTTCTCATTTCATCTTCGATCTGTTAAAGAAATAATAATTCTTTGATTCTATTTAAGTTATCTATATTCAAATTAACAACATAAAACGCTCACTGAGTTTCCAGCGATATACATACCCTTTTCTAGATATATACCTAATAATAATAAACGAACGGCGAACGACTGTATTCCTTCCACTCGTGAGCTCATTTACGATTGTCACATATAGTAAATGTCATTTACTATATGTGACAATGGTAAATGAGCTCACGAGTGGAAGGAATATAGTCGTTCGTTCGTTTGTTATTATTAGGTATATATCTAGAAAAGGGTATGTATATCGCTGGAAACTCAGTGAGCGTTTTATGTTGTTATTTTATTTCCTGAGTACGGGTCTTCGACCAATTTCATATTGTTATATTCAAATTACTCGTATGGAAATGTCGAGTGTGAATTTTATACATATTTGTTTTGGATCTAACCAGGAGCAGTTGCAACTATATAGGCTCTCTGGCAGGAAGTGTCGAGCTCGCGCTTTCATTCATTACCTTGTGTCTTGTGTGTCCTTCACGTTGCATGTTTTTCTCTGCAAGGAATTCTTTTCCCACAGTGATTCCTTCTGAAAGCATACTGAAGGTAGAACGACGTTTTGCTTCAGGATATTGACTCGTAGGACGTCGAGAAGACATCGAGCTGTCGTACGAGAAACTTTGTTTGCCTCCCACCATCGGTACTTCATCATCATCGTTGATTAATCGATTATTGAACTGCCCCGGAGATGTTTCAGCAACAATATTGGCTGCTTTGTGAGTTTGCTTCTTGGCGCTTTTATTACCCTCGCTTTCTGTTGCATTTAATTGACCGGCAGAAGAACGAACAATAGCCGAGTTTGAACCTAAAAGATAAAATATTTACACGAAATTAATTTCCTCCACCAAAACAGATAATTGTCAAAATACTTTTGAAGATAACGAATCAAATCAATCTCGTACCCAGAGCTCAGAATACTACTGTATACAGAAGTCCATCTCCATTGTTTTTTGCGTAAGCGCTATTCGTCATGATTCGTCACTCAGCAAGTACCGTAAACAGAAGCAGTAACCCCCTGGAAATATTCAAAATGGCACACGTCCAGGGGGGTGACTGCTTCTGTTTACGGTACTTGCTGAGTGACGAATCATGACGAATAGCGCTTACGCAAAAAACAATGGAGATGTACTTCTGTATAGTATTCTGTGCCCAGAGCATGCCCGTTCGCAGGTTAGGGCTGGGCATAGCGAATGGGCATGCTCCAGACAAATAAATAGACCTGACGTTTTCCAACCTTGTACCCAGATCTGTGGGTGTTTTCCACAAAAAGTACATACCTTTATTAAATATAGCGCCATCGTTTGCCAAACAGCTGATTAATCTTTTCAAAATTCTAATATAACTCTTCTTATATCTTTCCCAGGTAAAGAAATATATGAGAGGGTTTGCAAGGGGACTGGCCAGAGGCTGTAGCGACGATATTAGAGTGAGTAGGTCACTAGGTTCGCGAGTGACCTGGGCTCGAGTTATGGCGACCTATAAAGTGAATCATACGTAAGTGCAGTGTGGAAGATCAAGGGCAGTTTGCTGAATCAATAATACCTCTGCAATCTGCAGGCAGTAATGAATTCCTAGGACAAGCATAATTTAATCATAATTGACGTTAGTGTTTGCTTTTCTGATATTAACTGTTATTTTAGTAGCATAGCGTCTGTCTATAATATGTCTTGAAGTGTCCGAGGTATTCATTAACGCATGAAAACCAGCTGTGATATATTTACAGTTAATGAAATTTCGTTGATAGAGGTTTTTGACTACAGGATCATGTGTATGTGGGGAAACAACTAACTATAACCAGTTTAATACTTTATAAATTATTTTTATCTCACGTCATCAAACTCTGAAAAAACGTCTTTTAAACTACGCTCACATGGCCAGACATTTCAAAATATTGACCGACCATCAATATTGTGTAACATTGTGAGGGCCGTATCATAACTATCATGGTCAATACGTTTCCCTCATAAAATAAAGTTTTTACTTACTTACTGCATTGAATAAAGAAACTTTGTTTCGTTTGTTAAATGGAAACATTTGTATTCTAATAATGTGCAACATGACATACTGTTTAAGTCATTAAAGGGATTAAATGTAGTAATGAACGTCGAACAACAACAATCTTGATTCCAAAATAGCGACTTACCATCAATGGTAACCAACTGAAATAGAAGAGACCACTGACCATGGCTGTTACCTTAATCATTCGCTGGCTTTGCATGAAAGAATGGGATGCTGTTTTTGTTAATGTAACCCCTCGTTCTTGTAGATCAACTATTGCTCCTCTCCTGGCTACAAAACGAGCTTGTCTTTCCATGAATTTCTTCAACGAAACCTTTATAGCCATAAAACAGTAGGACACGACCAGCAAGTCTGCATAACCAATGACAAGGATTAAAATGGCGTAGTCACTATCGTGAGAAAACATACATAGCGCCATTTTGGGAAGTAACACGTAATTTCCCCAAGCAATTAAAGGCAGGGAAGAAACAGAGATTGAAATGAACAATAATAAAATAAGAACTTTGACAGCCATGCGTGTGTTCACGTAGGATTTGTAAAAAAATGGCCGACTAACGGCTGTCAGTCTTTCCAAGTTTATTAGAGTAACAATGAACGCACTGTGAGTCTGAGTTGTGACAGTGAACCATGCCTGAATTTTACACAATATCCCAAACTCCTTATTCTGCTGTAGAAATGTCCATTTGAATACAATAGCGAGTACAATACTTGTCATTGTGTGGATAATATCGAGCAATGCCAAGCAAGAGATAAAGACGTCAGCCACCAAACGTCTTGAAAAACTTTTCACCGTCCATAAAACGAGTGAATTGCCAATAACAATGACGACTGAGATGATAATTAATGCATAACCCGTTTCAAACCTCTCTTCTTCTTTAGATTGTGTTTCCGTCTTTGAAGAAGGAAGATTTATCAATGTTGTTAAGATATTTAGATTTGTCCGGGTTTCCATTGTTAACTGTTGTATTGTGGTCTAGGAGTTTAAATCAGTGTTTTGATAATGAGACGCTTTATGCCATTAAAGCAGATGTCGGGAGGTGAAAAGAGATGCTCTGATCTCTATGTCAACAAATTAAGCAAACAAGAATAAGATAAATGATGAAATCTTATTATTTTCTTGTCTTTGATTGCCCTAATGCCTCTTCAATGTTTACAATGACCCCGTGGTAGAGGCTCATTAATTCTCCAGTTTGTCATGTCATGATAGAAAAATCAGTTAATAGAACTTGTCAACTTGAAACGATTCCTTGAATTCTGTCTTTGGAATTTGAGCCGCCAGTTTTAAAATGATTCATTGATTTATACGTACAGTAAACTCAAAAGCAATGATCTATCATAAAGCTGACTGAAAATGAAGTTTTAAGACGTTGGGATACAAACTTTCCGAAACTACAAAACAAAAAGAGGTAACTGATGAAATTCAGTGTTTGTGTGTGAGACGTAAAAGGCAAACCTCATTCATTAAAGACAGTTTATTTTTCAGAAACAGATTTCCGAGTTTGAACGAGTTTATTTCACTATTTTCTATTTTTTCCTGTTGTGAAAATAGATGATTTTAATAACCAAATCCAGTATGAAAAAAACATTAACGTTTTGCTGTTGATCGATGCTTTCAAGCGCGATACAGTTCAGAAAATAGAATTTAGACTTTAGACTTTAGTCTACACTCATAGTACAATGCACTTTTCCCCGAATAACAGATGCACATGAAGATGACTCCCCATGTTTCCCCGCACGATATGTTTCTTTGAACTTGATCAGTCCAATGGAACTTGATCCAATCACAAACGTACCATTAAGCCAATATTGTGCAAGGAACACCAGGCAATAACCACACGAAAACGAGGCCATTGGGCCAAAAATGCAATAAACAGTACAGTCTATTGCGCAGACAAACGGTTATATATTGAAAGTGAAATTTCGCTAACATCCACATGTTTCACACACGAGTGATATTTCTCTTTCCTTAAACATGCAGGGGTTAATTAATACTTGTGAGAATTGCAGGGGACAATCCCCATCAGTTGAAATTTTGTCTGTTGTTCTGTTAGAGCATTCCCATGGATCGTTGCGTTAACCGCGTGTAAGAAGGGCTCTGGGTACAAGAATGGAACATAGACATCCACTAAAGTTTGCTAACATGAAGTATCGGTGTTTGTAGTACCCAATCCCCGTGATCTCAACGTGCCACGTCGGGCTGAGTGGAAAGTCACTCTTATTTTTTATGTTTCTAATTTTCTCATCAAAATGGTAAGTTTATTTCAATAAAACTTCTTTGTATTATTCTTGTTTATTTTCTATGCTTTGATGTTATGGCTAAACCTTAATTCCACAAGATCACAGCTCATATGACCGTTTCATATTTGACTTGTGACGTGTGAATTGTAGTCTAGATATTTCGTTGTTATTTGATGTATATTAATATTTGTAGTCGTAAAATAGTGTTATATATTTAGTTACTTTCGTATTTATTTTGAACGTACGATATAAAAACAAATGCATTCTCTATGTATCAAATTATAATGAAGATTATAGTATTTGCCCTGCTAGCAGAGACTTGGAAATTTATATGCACTCTGTGGATCTGTTGAGATTCTGTAGTTCTTTGTTTAGCCATGTTACCAAAAACGTGGATAGTTCAGGTTTAATAACCAGTTTTACAAAAGTTAGTTAGTATTTACCTTGGACTACAGTACAACTTGTTTATAAATTTTATATGGCTCCAAGGCTGTAGAATTGTAATAGGTAGGTCAGGATCAGACAGGCAATAGTTGTATGAGGTGAGAGTCTGGCTGCCTGGAACTTGGAATCTTTGGATTGGCATCCTATGATAATGGTCATTCCAGAAAAGACCCACACTCCCCTTACAGAGAAAATGTTTTGCTATCTGAAGGGGGAGGGTGAAAATTGAATTGTAGTAAATACTAAAATGTACTAGATTGTCTGAAGGGGGAGGAAGGTAATTTCAAATTTCCTCTGTGTGTGGGAGATGTGGATCTTTTCTGGAATGACCCATGCATTGGTGTAATAGTTTGTGAGGAAGGTGAAGTTACAGAATACTAATCCAGTAGATTTCTAGATTTCAAACATGAATTGAATCAAACATCTTATGTTGCTTTATTTTTCTTTTGTAGCCATTAAGGTTGGATGTGAAGGTTTGTAGTTGATGTGTGAAAATTTGCAAGATAATGTTTCCACAATCCTTTCTATTGATTACACTCATCATTTTGAAACAGACCAGGCCTCGCACTTTCCACTAAATTTAATATGGAAAAATACACAGTTTTGCAGTGAGGGTTCTATTGCTAATTTTTTCTAACTATTTTTTTAGCGTAAACTTTCTGCTCGTTCTGATCGAGTGAAAAGTGTTGATCTTCATCCCAATGAGCCGTGGATGTTGGCAAGTTTGTATAATGGCAATGTTCACATCTGGAATCATGAATCACAAACATTAATCAAGACTTTTGAAGTCACTGACTTGCCAGGTAATTGAGTCATTCCAGAAAACATCCATACCTCCCCCACAGAGGAAATTGGAAGTTAACCCCCTTTGGATGTCCTATTAAATACACTTCAAACACTCATTAATAATTCATAAGCTTATTGGCAAATCATGTCAACCATAATATGTCACGTGCAATGGCTTTAAACCTAATAAAACACTCCTAATTAGTATTCTTTATATAAAGAATACTAATAAGGCAGTATCTATTGTAGTCGTGTCTTCATTAGTATTTTTTATATAAAGAATACTAATAAGGCAGCATATCTATTGAATTTGTAGTCGTATTTGAAGAATAAACTCGCAGGTCGTGTTTTATTAGGTCTAAAGCCACTCGCGCTACACGCTCGTGACTTTAAACCTAATAAAACACTCCTGCTTGTTTATTAAACAGTACTTACTATTATCAGAAACAATTTTTTCTCCTGTCCCCCTCCGGAGGGCAGAAAGAAATTTCCTCTGTGGTGGGAGTGTGGTTCTTTTCTGGAACAACCCATTACATCCTGTAAAACTGGTGTATGAACCAGCAGTGAGACAAGTATAATTAGGTGAAATTTTGAGATTTGTTTGTTTCAAGTGATCTAAGTTAAGGATCCCTTCCCTGACTCAGATGTGAAAAATCTTGCGACCACCAGGAGGGTCATAACTGATCCAAACTATGTCAGATGTCCATTATTTTGAATTTAATTTTGGAAATGTTTAATTTTTAGTGCGTGTTGCCAAATTTGTTATAAGAAAGAACTGGGTTGTAACTGGCTCGGTAAGATATACTCATGTGAGAAGTTTTGGATTCTGGAATTTATTGATAAATATAATTTTTTATATTCAGGATGATATGCACCTTAGAATTTATAACTACAATACTTTAGAAAAGGTAAGACATTGAAATTTGCATCCCTCCCTTCTATCAGGGATTTAAACCGAAAAATTCGGTTCTTCCGATACTTTTTTTGGCACCGAAAAAATATACGCAAAAGAACTGGTAGTTTCGGTTTTAATTTCCTGTTTAACACCTGCCAAATGCCCACCTGATTGCAGGTTGAAATGTTTGGAAAATAACAAGATTGTGCTCTTTGTGCACAATATACACTGTACCAAGTGCTCAAATAGTTGATAGTATAGTATAGTAGAACTTTATTTAACGACGCTAATCCCTCATCACCCATGGATGATTTTCATGAGGAGCGTCACACAAATTACATTCTAAAAACTAATATAAATTAAATATGAAATAGAATAACACAGAATAACAAATACGTAGTTAAAAAAGTTATTTTTGTGAACTTGCTTTAAATTTTTTTAAAAAGAAATATTTCATGTTCATAAATAAATTCCAATTGTTCTTTTAAAATATTCAGAGATTTATACAAACTTACAAATGCATAAATTTGAACATCTATTTAGTAAAAATGCTCGAAACATACATAAATGAGTTCATACATTTGTACTGTTCTTCTTTTTTGAAAATAACCGAAACCGAGCCTAGGTTTTTCTGTTCCAAAAAAAAAACTGGAACCGGGATAAAATTTTTGGAACCACACGCTCCACAGGGATTCCAATATTTACATTGTTTACCTTTTTGAAACAGATCAACTCAATATCATTTTTAACCAATCATATAGATTCATGGTTTTGAAGCTCACAGTGACTACTTAAGATCAATTGCTGTTCACCCAACACAATCCTATATACTCAGCAGTAGTGGTGAGTTTTATTTCTTACACTCAAAATACAAGAACTTTCCCACTTCTATAGTCTGTTGACATTTTCTGACATGTTACAGTAATTGTTCTGTATTACTGTAATGGTTACTGATTTATAGACAAATACTGTGATAAAACTCAAATTCTGCACCTTTTTCAAAATGCAGTGAATCTAATGAAAGATGCAGCCTTTGCTACAAATTATCATATGAAACAAAGAAAACTAAATTGTGTTGCCATATTTGCTCATACATGTAATTTGGTAACTGCTACAGAAAAAACAGAACAATTTACAGAATATTACAACAGATTGTGGAAGTGGGAAGGTTCTTGTATTTTGACTGCAGTTATTATTTATTAGTATAGTATGCTGTATATTTACTAGTTAGTGTCATAGAGAAACTTACATAGTTAAACAGAGAAACATCAATGTTTTGAGCAAAGGCTCTTCGTTGGGAAGTTACTGTAGTACTCATTGGCAAAAAATTCTCCTCAATAATAAATTCAATGATTTAGGGCAATACTGTTGGCAAATGCTGGTTGCTACTGGAAATTGCAGGGGTTGTAACTAACACCAGTTCTGTATCTTGTTCAGATGATATGTTGATCAAACTTTGGAATTGGGATAAGAACTGGCAACTTCAACAAGTGTTTGAAGGTCATACTCACTACGTCATGCAAGTTGTAATAAACCCTAAAGATAATAACCAGTTTGCAAGTGCCTCTCTGGATAGAACAATAAAGGTATGTCTATCTTTTCATGCTAGTTTTTCTTAGTTACCTTTTCCAGTCAGAGGTTGTGATATACAGTATGAGTCTGTCTGTTAGCAGGATTTCAACTCACTTTAGGATTGAAGTTTGAGGAGTCAATGAAATTTTGGTTTAATTTAGATGAAAATAGAATGAGAAATTTACAAATTATTTCTTGCTTCTCTGGGCTGTGTAAAGAACTGAATGCATAAAACATATATAAGTTATTCATGAATACTTAACTATAATTGTTGTCAGATATACAGTAAACAGGCTACCTCAGAATAGCAAATTATGTGCAACTACTGTAACCAGTAATTATTAAACATGACTCTACCCATTTTTAGGTGTGGCAACTTGGTTCAACTGCTCCTAATTTTACATTAGAAGGCCATGAGAAGGTAAGTGGGAAATATCTCAACATCACAATGGAACACAAGATCACTTCAAATAAAATATAAATATTATAAACTCGCAACTTGTGAGTCTAATATTTGTCACAACATTGAAAGGCAGGGGGGGATTAATATTATTATTTCAGCTTAGTTGGTCCAGTAATGTTGTCAGTGCTTGTAGTAAGACTCTGACAATGAGTTTAATGTTATAGGGTGTTAATTGCATTGATTATTTTCATGGTGGTGAGAAACCTTATCTGATTTCTGGAGCTGATGATAGATCTGTGAAGATTTGGGATTATCAGGTAATTGTTGGTTTGTTAAGAAATGAACATACAGGGCTGACGCTTTTTATTATGTATTTTTACTTTTCAAATAACATGAATGCTGTATGTACAGTACACATGTCAAGTTTAATAAATAAATAAACATTAAGACTTCTTTCTATTTTGTGTTATGTAGAACAAATCATGTGTACAAACTTTGGAAGGACATGCGCAGAATGTTTCCTGTGTTGGTTTTCACCCTGAACTACCAATTATTCTTTCTGGCTCAGAGGATGGTAATGTTTTATGGCAAATGACGGTGTCTATATGTACAGTGCAAAAACATGTCTAAAGTCTGTTTGGTTTTATTTAGGTACTGTCAGGCTGTGGCATGCTAATACGTATCGCTTAGAAAGTACATTAAACTATGGTTTGGAACGAGTTTGGACAATCACTATGATGAAAGGTTCCAACAACGTTGCATTGGGATACGACGAAGGCAGTATCATAATCAAGGTGGGCAGCTCATATTCACTTCATAACTGAATATGAATAATTTCTACTACACGCAGTACAATGTTTACCATATCTTACTACTGTATAAATATGTCTGCAAGTAATTTTCTCAAAAGATGTTATTAAAAGTGATTTTAAATACTTTTCTTTTTTTCGTAGCTTGGAAGAGAGGAACCAGCCATGTCTATGGACAATAATGGCAAAATTATTTTTGCAAAGCATAGTGAAGTTAGCCAAGCTAATTTGAAGAACTTAGCAGGTATGACTGTATGTGCAGGCCATATTTCGTCGTTTAGGACATGTCAGAGGTGTCCAGATTTGACTTCCACTACCGCAACTGCTACAATTAACCAATCAGATGTGTTTAAAATACCCAATTAACCAATCAGATGTGTTTAAAATACCCAATTGACCAATCGGATGCGTACTGAGCCAGTGAGAGGTTTTGGTAGTGGAAGTCATATCTGAACCTCTCTATAAAAACGTTGGAGACTGCATGTCTGTGCCGCCTCAGCTGGAAACTGTGGAATGAGCTGCTTAGGGAAATTCATCAATGATGTTAAATTTAATCATTTCATTCTACACCTGCGATCATTACATCACGAGGAATATGTTATGTAACAATTACTGTAATTTTATTATTTTTATATTTCATTCGAAGATTATGAAATCAAGGATGGTGAAAGGATTCCCTTAGCGATCAAAGACATGGGATCTTGTGAAATATTCCCTCAAACGTTATCTCATAATCCAAATGGAAGGTACCGTATATAAGCAGTAACAGTTAGTGATATTGAACATATGACTGCAGAAATTGAGGAGGCATGGAGCGACACTAACTCCTTCAGGGGTAAACTACAAACTCAAATGTCAACTGATATACAGTTTGAATTAGAATTCTGGAGTTACGCATCAACATCAAAATTCTGTGGAGGAATACGAGCCAGCTGTCATCTAAACCTGTAATAAATGGATACCAACAACAAAAATAGTCCAAGAATAAGAGTGAAACAGCTATTGAGTCAAATTCAAAAGCTATCGGGACATGATTTGCCTGAGTCATACACCACTTTGATGTCAGGATCCACTAACGTCCCCAGGCTACTAATTTTCGTTCGCCTGGATCTTTATTCAAAGTATTTTTTCATATCATGTATGTTCAATTTTTGTGTCTAGGTTTGTCGTAGCATGTGGTGATGGGGAATACATCATTTATACAGCGATGGCTTTACGAAACAAAAGTTTTGGAAATGCTCAAGAATTTATTTGGGCAAGTGATTCATCAGAGTAAGTTCACGAGCAATGATATTTTACGTCCTATATATTCCATTCCAAAAACGTTTCACTGTTAAATGGCTACTTTTGTCCGCTTAGATACGCAATAAGAGATGGGAGCAAAATCTCAATCCATAAGAATTTCAAAGAAAGAAAGTCATTTAAACCTGATTACGGTGCAGAAAGTAAGTTTCAATGTGTTGACCAGGTGACAGAAAGGTCAGTTATGGGTCAGTGTTCTTAAAGTGAGGAAATACGGAGTACCCAGAGAAAAATCTTGATCGAAGCACAGCAGAGAACCAACCGAATTCTTGAAGCACAGGAGAACTTGCCCCATGAGCTAAGTAATCCCTGTCCTCGCCCTGCAGTAGTACGATTGAGGTATAGGACAGCACCGCATCTGCAATTCATACTCGTGAAAATATCTCTTTTCATACTGTATGTATTTATTTTCAGGTATCTTCGGTGGTAATCTCATTGGTGTGCGATCTTCTGCTGGACTGTCGTTCTACGATTGGGAAAATACTGAACTAATAAGAAGAATTGACATTCAGCCTAAGTCGGTAAGAAAACAATAGCGGTTAAAATACAGTTACGTTTTTATTTAAAATGCTCTTCTAAGGGAGAATTAAAAATACTATATTTACAACTCGGCAGGACTTTGTATCAGATATACAAGTCCATGGTCAAGTTTTCATCATGAATTATGAGTGAGAAATAGAATGTGGTCATATTGTGGTGTATATGTTTAGGTGCACTGGTCGGACAGTGGTGAGTTGTGCGCCATTGCGACAGATGATACCATCTATATACTCAAGTATTGTCCAGAGAAGGTGACTCAAGCCATGGAAAACAAAGATGAGATCTCAGAAGATGGCATTGAAGAAGCTTTTGATGTACGTATGGAATACTACGGATGTTTTACTAAACTAAAGTATTTGTGTAATCTTGTTCATGTCTCTCTGAGTTTGTGTAATTTTGTTCATGTCTCTTTTAAGGTTGTTGGCGAGATAGAAGATATTGTCAAGACTGGCCTGTGGGTTGGTGACTGTTTTATTTACACAAATTCAGGTGAATGTCACTACTACATTGCTGATTGCTATATACTATAATATATGAGTGGACGTAGAAATGTACAATTGACGTAATTCATTCACTCGTAAATTATTAATCAGTTTGAGATGTAATTTGTTTCAAGAATTGTCTATTTTTTATCATGTATAGTTAACAGACTGAACTACTATGTTGGAGGCGAGATCGTAACGATAGCACACCTTGATGGGTAAGTTTTTATCTTATTGACGTTCGGGGAAACACCAAACCCCATGAAAATGCATGAGCGTGCGATCGCTACTTAAATTTTTGCAGGCACATTTTAAAATCCTGCCATTTCCACAGTATTTAACTCTCTAAACCTAAAATACAACGCATTTTTGCACATGAAGTCATGAATTGTACTCATAGGCACTAAATATCAATGAGCGCTGTGTATTCATGTCCATGACTTTCTCGAAACGATTGTCTTGAATTCACTTTGACATTCTTTGCTTATTATAGCACGATGTATCTTCTTGGTTACATTCCCAAAGACAATCGCCTGTACCTTGGTGATAAAGATCTCAATGTCGTCAGTTATTCCTTATTGTTGTCTGTTCTGGAATACCAAACTGCCGTCATGCGAGAAGATTTTGAAACTGCTAAACAGGTAACATTTTTTTATATATATAATTTGCTAAGGCAACTGTAGGAACAGTTGCGAAAAATGCAATTGAACATGCGGCCCTATTGAAGATATAAGTTATCGTTAAGATTATACCATGTTACCAACCTGTCACCTGAGAGCAGTTTAGAACTGATGGAGCTATCCAGTGGAAATGAATTTAATCTAAAGGTTTCTTCTTGTAGTAACTCTGGACTAATATACGACGTCGCCCTTACTTAAAGAAAAGCAGTTTAGACCAGATAGAGTCATCCAGTATAAATAAACTTACAATTTACACACATTAGGTTCTGCCAACCATTCCAAAGGAACAGCGTAATCGCGTAGCTCACTTCCTGGAGAAGCAGGGATACAAACAACAAGCCTTAGCCGTTTCATGCGATCCTGAACACAGGTATGTTTATAAATAGTATAACACAGCACCAATGAACGATCGTTGGGAAGTATGGTTTATAATTTCTGTAATGTTTCCAGGTTCGAACTTGCAGTTCAGTTAGGAGAATTGAAGATAGCTTATGAAATCGCCATGGAAGATCAGGTTTGATTTTCTTATGTTTTGCGCGCATTCATGTGATTCATTTATAATGTAACTACCGTCATGGATTCATAAGTGGAATAACGAATTTCATACATTGGAAAATAAGTAAACACGATATATTCCACATTCTAATAATGTAATTTGGTATAAATAATAAATTATATTGTTATTGCAGCTCTGAGAAATTTTTTTTTTTACAGAATGAGAAAAAATGGAAACAACTCGCGGAATTGGCGATCAAGAATTGTGAATTCCAGTTGGCGCAAGAATGTCTCCATCGGGCTGAAGATTTCGGAGGATTGCTTCTTCTTGCTTCATCTGCCGGACACGCAGACATGATCGCTAAGCTCGCTGAATCTGCTTTAGAGAAAGGGAAGAATAATGTAGCATTCTTGGCATACTATCTCCTAGGAAGGTACGTTGTTCGCATGGCATGAGAGGCTAATAACCTTCTAATTATCGTTTAAGCATTTTCTGATTGTTTTCTAATTAGGTTAGAAGATTGCTTGGATCTTCTCTGCAACACTGGACGTTACCCTGAAGCGGCGTTCATGGCAAGAACGTATCTACCAAGCCACGTCTCCAGGTATAGCTCGTACTCACGCCTCTACACATTCGAATATTGTATTTGGTGTATATTCCAATGGTGACAGTTTTTCACGCATTTTTTATCATTTCAAAGAGTTGTTGGGTTGTGGAAAGAAGATTTAGCGAAGGACAATAAGAAAGCGGCAAACTCATTGGCTGATCCGACGGAATATGAAAATCTTTTCCCAGAATTCCAGGAAGCTTTAAAAGCAGAACAGGTTCGATCTATTTTTCTAAAGTTTGTTTTCGTATGCAAATTACATTCTCTTTATCTAATGAGCACATCATATAATATGCTGTTCCATTTTAGGTTGTGACTGTATGAGCTGCGTTTTGTTTGACATCATTTTATATCGTTTTAGTTTTTGAAGAAAGAAAGAAAGACTCTTGTAGCAGCCGCTGACTATCCTCGCCTACCCGTAAGTTACAATTTTTTTTAACTTTTATATTTGAGTGACACCTTGACATAGCACTTTATCTCGTTCTTTTCCAGCCTTATTTGCCTGGATATCTCAGCTTCAGCAGCAACTTCTGCCTTAATAATTCTTCATATATAATGTTCAAACTTATAATAAAAGCATGTGTTTTTATTTCCCCAATGTAGAGTAACTTCGACCGAAATATTTTTGAAGAAATTAAAGGAGTTGAAATAAAGGAAGATTCCAATGTTGATGATGTGGCGGTATGAAACTCAAACTCTTTCATAAAATACTATAGACCGGTAGCCAAAAAATTAAGTTGTGGGTTGACATTCTTAGTGCATTGTTTTCAGGATTCCATTGATAATCTCAATATTGACACATCCGGAGAGGGCGTGAAACCAACTGATCCATCCTCTGCTGAAATTAGTAAACCACAAGAACCCGAGCCTGCTACAGAGCCAGTGAAGAGAACACCTTCGCCTAGTGACGAGGTTCGTACACCATACAGGATAGTGGGCGTTGAGATGTCTTGAAATCAATATATTAAAACACTTCCAGTGTATGATATTATATACTTGTGAAAACAACCAGTATAGAGAAAACTTATGTAGAACTCTGAGTGTTTTATTCATTGTTATAGGACTATGATCTTGGCGATGATGATGACGATGATGATATCGACCTAGACGATGATGTAAGTATTTGCAAATTTAGCTCTTAATTTTCTTCTGGGGACGGCGCTTATAGGAGTGACGTTGTTAAATCGTTAAATCTCACTAAATGTTCGACGTTTGAACACGACTGAATGACTTGATTGTGTTTCTTGTTAGGACATCGATCTTGATGTTGATGATCTACTCGACGACGATGACGAATAACTGGAAATTCTGAACTCTTCTTATCAATTGGACAGTCGGAGATATAATGCCCGTATCACCGTAGTCAATAGAGACATCATCTATAAACTTCAAAACGTCTCTAATGACCTTGTGAGCTATTAGTTTATGTTCGGACGAGTTGCCGTCCACAAATATTTTGAAATGTTGCGTAATACCATTGGATGATTGCTTTATTATGGCAAAAACATATTATTTTCGCTGTACACAAGTTTGCATGAACAAAAAGGCAAAGTTTTCCTGATCATATCTTCATTGACTATGGTACCACACGCGATTGTCCTGTAATTTAGTTCGGTTGTGGACTTGTGGCGAGACTGCGGTCTGCGCGCTGATCGATGCCATCATCCTCATACTCGAGACGTTCATATTCGACTTCCGCTACTTTCTCTCACTGACTTATTACGCCTTTACGCCTTTGATTGGTTAAACACATCTGATTGGTTAATGATAGTCTGAACGTCTCTGTTGTAACCACGAGAGCGGTACTGTATGAAGTGTATGACTTGTAAGGTCCGCATAATTAATCATAATTAGATAACTTTATTTCTCATGATATTTGTATTACTTGCACAACTTAAATTTAAGTATGTATTAAAAAGAGTTATATTGTATTTAACGGGTTTTTTCTTTTTGACACGCATGTAAACGTGCGCAAATTCCTCATTCCATGTTTGGAACCATAATTTTGGGAGACTTAGAAATGACTTTATTAGGGTTGTCGTTCGGAGTTATGGTTGGGTTTAGTTGTGGTATTTGGATTAGGGTTAGCAGTGTAGTTAGGGTCGTATTAAAATATGGATGTTAGTATGACCTATATTTGACTGAAGATGGAAATTGACGCATACAATTGACAGACTTGTTGACTCGAGCACAATCTTATTCAGAATTTCAGGTCTTTTCGCCTCGCCCGTTTTTACGTGTTCCGCGGCGGGCTGACCGTCTGTCATGCAGGCTATTTATACTACGGGAATCGGCCAATCTCGTTCCCAGAGTATGCCTAACCCGCGAACAGGTATACTCTGGGAACGAGATTGGGAATCGGGTGATATAGGGAATCGGGTGAAGCTTGATTCATTATTTCAAAACAAAATAAAACTTTCTCCAATTTTTCATCAAAAACAAAACTCATGTCTTGTGTTGGAGGGTTAGACGATATTGAAGACATTATAAGTAAAGATGACTTGACTCCAAATGATAGAATTCCTGTTAAGAAAGATGTTCTACCGAAAGCAAGAAAGGGGAAGCGTACTAAATTATTGGATGAAAAACCAATTTCAGATAGCATCATACCTGGCACCCAAAAGATATATGTGAAGACGTGGGGATGTTCACATAATAATAGTGATAGTGAATATATGGCTGGCCAGTTAGCTGCTTATGGTTATAAAATAATAGGTTAGTATCACTGGGTCATGTGGCTTCCTAATATATACTGAAACCTTTAATAGATAGAGCCTCAGATAGAGCTATCCATATTGTTAATATTAAGATGTGACACCCTTGACCCATTAAGTTGCATTGTATGCTAGTTTGTTATTTTAATCTGTCTAATCCAGACAATTTTACTTGTCAAGACGAGAGCGCAGGTACTCAGCGGATCCTCATCACAAATTCGATACAGATGTCCGACTCGATCCGCTGAAGTACGGCCCGTATTGACTCACATATAGTGTATTCTCAATCACAAAGCAATCACCGTGTTCCTAGCTAGTAGTGGACTTACAAAAGGCACTCACCCCCTGAACACCTAGCTTCACAGTCTCTCCTGAGCACACTGGCTAGAAACATGGTGAGTGCTTTGTGATTATGAATACATGACATGACGTACGGTAGCCTGTGTTCCAGTCCACTGTGTAGTGGACTGGAACACAGGCTAGACGTACGGCAGTTATGCTAACATTAAAGCTGCTGTGTGGTCTCATGAATCATGAGTGAACAACCTTTTCATGTTGATTCATGAGAGTGAAACTTCCCAAGCATTTGTGACGTAAATATTGCATAAAGCTGTATTTATTTACTTTTAATGAATTTTTATAGACAATCCAGATCACGCTGATCTTTGGTTGCTAAACAGTTGTACTGTAAAGAATCCTTCAGAAGACAATTTTAGAAATAGCATCAAAAAAGCAAAAGAGAGTGATAAACATTTAATTTTAGCTGGTTGTGTTGGACAAGGACAGCCTGGACATGAAACATTACGTGGTCTTAGTATCATTGGGGTATGTATGTGTCAACACCATACAAGATGTTGTAGGACTACAGTAAGGGGTTACTCCTCACCCTCATGACCAGGGCTGTGACCATGCAGGCCTCATGACCGAGAGGTTGTACGTGTGGGCTTGGGGGGGACTTTCCCATGGGCTCCTATATATATTCTCAGTTAAGTAATCTTGTACAGTATCAAGAAAATTTAAATGACTTCGTTGATTTGGGGGGGGGGGGCTTTTGAGCTCTGGGCGGGGAAGGCAAAATTATGTTTTAATTTTTAAGAAGTAAAGTTTTAAAAAGTAAAATCTGTAAAATTTGATTTTTGTATTAGGTGCAACAAATTGACAGAATTGTAGAAGCAGTAGAAGAGACTTTGAAAGGTAGGGTGATTTGAAAACTTGACGAAACACCTAACAAATGTATCTCACTCAATTTATATGATTCACTGGATCATTGACCTTACAATAAGTGCGGGTTGCAAGAGATACAACGACCTGAAAAATACAAGCAGAATGTCTGAAGTTCTCCGTATTATATTATAAATATGAATTTATGCTCAATCCTAGGTCACACTGTTCGGATATTGGGTCAGAAAAAAGAAAATGGGCGGAAGATTGGAGGTGCAAAGTTAGACTTGCCAAAAATACGTAAAAATCCACTCATTGAAATCATTGCTATCAGCACTGGGTGAGTGTGTAGATTTATAGAACTTTTTATTTTATAACTTTAATAATAATAATTTCAATCCACACTACAGAATGACAGAAGAACATAAGACAAACTTGGACCCAGTCCCTATATTTATACAATGATGCTTTACACATATTTAACGTGTGTATTAAATTATATTGATGCCACTCTTGAGTAGCCCCACACAAGGCAAGATGGGAATCAACCTGTGACATTTGGTGTAGTTTTAGAATGAAATTCTTTGTACCTTTTCAGATGTTTAAATCAATGTACATACTGTAAAACGAAACATGCGAGGGGTGAATTGGGAAGCTATCCTCCTGAGGAAATTGTTGCTCGAGCTAAACAAGCATTCCAAGGTAGATGAAAATAACTCTAATCCTTGTCATGTCAGGATGACAACTCTCTTACATATCTCTTTCAGAGGGTGTGGTTGAAATTTGGTTGACAAGTGAAGACACAGGAGCTTATGGTCGAGATATTGGTTCATCATTACCTGAGTTGCTATGGCAACTTATTGAAGTGATTCCTGAAGGAGCAATGTTAAGATTAGGCATGACTAATCCTCCTTACATCCTTGAACACCTCGAGGTACAACAGAGATGTTTAGTAATAAAATTTGTTAAATCTTCCTGTCATTCATCAAGAGCTATAATCTATTACAGGACTTGATATATTTAAGCTTATCTAGGTTTTCTCAGACGTTCCCACAAACCAACATCTTCAGCAGCACTTGAAATTGTCAGTTATTTCATTCTGCGCATTTGTATGTACATATTGAGCAACTAATTACCACCATTTACCATGATTTTTATATGTTCCAAGTCTTTCCTCCACTTTCCAAATTTTTCACAACCATTCTTTTCACAACTGACCTCTTTCTCCTTTCATCATAAGGAATTCACTCCATCACGATTTTTTGGTCACTCGATCTTTCTGAAGACATTCTGACGATGCGGCCAAACCAAGTTGAGCACGCGAGCATCGCACGCAGGAATGTTTTATTTTTTATCTTCATGCAAACAGGAAATGATTTTTTCCACCCCTGCCTTCTGACAAAAGAACATGACTTTCAATTCCTCTTGTCCTTTTCAAAATATTCTCATACATCATTCTACTTTAGGAAATGGCAAAGATAATGAATAATCCGAGGATGTATTCTTTCCTACATTGTCCAGTCCAAAGTGGTTCTGACAGTGTTCTAGCTGACATGAAACGTGAATATTGTATAGATGATTTTAAACGTGTTGTTCAATATCTTAAAGAAAGGTACAATTATCTTTCGTACAAAGTATTTCAATATAATCTTCTATTTCATTATACCAGATCCATTTATAGTCGTTGGTGATATTATATAATATATTTGATAGGGTACCCCATATTACAGTGGCGACTGATGTCATCTGTGGTTTTCCCACCGAAACTGAACAGGTACTGGTGTAATTTCAAGTCTTGCCGAATGTTACGACGAATATGTTTGTGGAGGGATTGTGATAAATATGTTCATCGCTGTGTTTTAGGATTTTGAAGAAACTATGAAGATTGTTGAACTATTTAAATTCCCAAGTTTATTTATCAATCAATTTTATCCACGACCTGGTACGCCTGCTGCTCGCATGAAAAGAATTGACACTGCCATCGTAAGTATTTGGTCGCTTTGTTATGCAGAAAACATACAGAAAATAAAGTGTACAAATTCTATAAACATGGACAAAAATATAGGATTGTGACTTTGATGAACCCTTCTACTAAACCTTGTTTAATTTCTAGTCAAGCATGTGTTCTTATTTTTCATTGTTGATTCCATTAACTTTATTTTTAGGTAAAGGGGCGTACACGGCGAATTACAAAACTATTTAATACTTATCAACCTTACGACCACAAGGTACAGTACTGTTCTCACGTATAGGTAAATATTCAAGATTTTGGGCATGTCGCTCGAACAGAATGTTGAATGGTTTTTGTTGAAGGAAATTCAGACCTGACCGAGCTGCGAAATATGTTTGTAATTCGTTCGAAGTTTTCATCAACAAAACCTCTTCAAAAAAACAGTGAGCTTTCTTAAAACTCTGAGTATGACATTAGGGCTCAAGTTACATTTCTGTTGCTTTTTTTATAACCAGAAGTGAATTTCTGGGCGACATTCCTAGAATGTTAAAGTGGAAATTATTAAATGTTTTAGTTGGGTGAAAAGCAGAAAGTGTTGATCACAGAAGAATCTCATGATGGTGTTCATTACGTGGCTCATAATAAGAGTTATGATCAGGTAATACTTTGGGTTATCCAGGTACGGCATTGGAGAACCGGAACACCTCATGGTGGACATCCTGGCGGCCAGACAAAACATGGCGGAGAACAACTGAAAAAGAACTGGGGACTTGAAACAAATAGAACCAAGTAGAGATCCCTTGTGCCGTTCAACAGACCAACTGCATGGTTAATAAACTTTAAGCATTTTAGGGCTCGAACTTCAGGCGATGTTACACGGAACGATTTTCAATGACGATTCGCAACGCGACCAATCAAATTTCATCTAACTTCATTTGCATTGTGACTATTTGTTGAAAGTGTTTCAGTCATGTAATATACCCCACATTCAACAAGCTTTCCTCGCAGGCTTCCTTACGCCAGTGTTCTTCTCTTCAAACGAAGGATCTTCGCTCGCTATATTTTGGACAACTTTATCTTTGCAGGTGTTAGTTCGTAAAGACGAAGGTGAACTAATGGGCAAGATGGTGGAGGTTGTTATTACAGAAACTGGAAAACATTTTCTTAAAGGAAAAGTTCTGAAGGATAATCCTGTACACACACCAAGTATTGCACCACCTTTGGCTAAAGGGGTTGTAAGTGGTGTCAAACAGGTATGTTCCGAGTAATTGATATGCAGTTGATCACTCAAATAATCCGTAATAAATCAATTTCAGAGTGGATTTTATAAAAAATGATATACCTGGGCAAACGTGCGTGTTGCATGCCAAGAAAAACGACAATATCGCCCCACAAACAGGGAAAAGAATAGATAGTCTTACATTTACAAAATGATCAATTGAGTTGCACCACAAAGTGCTTACACTAGTTCAAGACATAAGGATAAAGCATGCCAAAACTCAAGCAAACCCGGAAATAGATCTACCCTCCATATTGTATTATTGCCAATAATATTGGAGTTCTTCAAAGATTTGTGAATTGTGCACAAAATGAACCCTGCCGAAATAAAATAAGTTCATTAATTATTTGAATGGTTATAAGGAGCTTAAGACTTTACAATAAAAAAGATGAGAAATGAGAAATTGAGCTGATCTTTCAAAAAGCTATGACCTATGGCTATGTGAGGGTGATCACACATTGACAGACTCCTACCCAGGTTTGGCATGGTAAGATGTGTTTACTGTTTACTGTTTACTGTGTCTTTGACTTTCTTTGAATGCTTTCTATAGGTGTCCAAACCATTCTCAACCACTACTCTCAAATCTAACGTGGAGTTCTGGATTAAAACCGCTCTCCTTGTTTTATTCATGGCCGTTATTTTTGACGTCATACGAGTAGGAAGACATTGGCTTCAAACTTGATCGCGAGAAGAATGATAAAAGGCGTCCAGTTGAATTTCTCTTCATGGCGAATTCACCAGCAGAAGTACAGAGTTGTGTATGGAAGATACTTGAATGCCTTATGCCTCGTCAGACACGTAATTCATCACCTATGCAACCTCACAAGCTATGCTCTTTCCCCCTACATTGCGAGGTTGTCACCTATTTCCCATAGGCCATACTCACGCCTATCACAGAGACCCACCGCGTCCGCCGTTCTTGTGTTGAATTGAATAGCTGGTCTTCTGGGTTTCACAAAGCACTACCGTGCAGCAGATTTTGGTCAACGGGCAGTTATCAGAGCGAGAAAAAGATTGAAATATATGAAATTTTCGATATCTAATGAATAGAATTCAAAGATTTAGTTTAAAGTGTCAGTATTTTTTTTTGTTGACCGCCATTTTCTGGTACGAAAGGCTTGCTGAAATCCACCGTATAAGTATTTCTAAAGTTTGTCGTGTTTTGAAGACAATTGAAAGGAAAAACAAATTGTTTATACTCAGAGATGTTTTTAATTAAACTAACTAACGTGTACAAAATCATATGATAGAGTATTAGAGTGTATTTTGTGAATATCCTTGCATATTTTTAACTACGCATGCGCAGTACCTTCTACAATAATTAACAGTCCCACATGCAAACGAACGGTATTGAGCAACGTACATATATAGGAAGATCGTACCATTTATATTTGCTGGTGAGGAAATTGGTCACCTTTCGTCCATTAGCGGCGGATTCCTCTCGCGTCTGTGAGATGATTGTGGCTATTCTGAGGCTCGAAATCTTTTTGATTTTTGTTCAAATTTATTCGAACACGGAGGCGAAACTGCAAATCAGTGAAGTGATGGTGTCAACGAGCATACTAATAATCTGACAACATTTTCAACATATTTTGCCAGCTGGAGATGCTATCAAGCCTATCATATTTCCAGACAATAAACGCGAATTTGCCAACTGTTAATAGTGTTGGTACAAACGTTTGGATATGAACAGGTAAATAGCTTCTTGCAAAAGGCAAGAATACAGGATAAAACACATTTCGTCGAATATTAATATGCGAGGTTTCTATTACTTATAAATAACATGTGAAACATTGTGACAGAGATGAGGACAATTTAAAGTGACAGCAAAATTCCAATACCCTATAAATACAGGTATGTTTCTATAAAATTTATATAAATCAATAAATGTATTAGGGCAATATTTAACAATCTTGATAAATTTTGAATATGGCGGGCAATATTTTCACGTGGTACTTGTGGTATAATTTGGCGGACAGCGTCTGGATGTAGTCAAGTGGGGATTATTTTCTTCGTTTTTAAGAATACAACATTTTATAGAACAGGGCAGAGAGAAAAGGGTAGTTAGCAGGATAGGCAGCTAGACAGGCTACCTCAGTAGAGATTTTTTTTTGTATTTTTCTAGGTATTTTTTGAACATATGTTTTAACACACTGATAAATAAAGATAACAAACGGGGTATTTAGGGTTACAAGCATGGTATTTGGGGTTATACACATGTAGTTATGGCTATTTAAGGTTACAAACAGGGTCAATATTGGTATTTAGGGTTATAAACAGGGTAGGTATGGGTATTTAGGGTTACAAGCAGGGTAGGTATGGTTGTTTAGGGTTATAAGCATGGTAGATATGAATATTTAGGGTTATATTCAGGGTAGGCATGGGTATTTAGGGATAGGGATAGGGTGGTTAGGAGTAGAAAAGGACACTGCGGTATAGTTAAAGAAGCAGTACTTGAGCCCAACCCTGAGCTAAGTATTCAAGGCAAATTGATATGATTCAAACTATTAGTCATCAAACTATTACAGTTTAAAAAGTCATCACAGTTCATATCATTTCAAATCGCTTCAATTTAATATCTTGTTATAGCAACAAAGGAATTTTGTCTTGTTTACATAAAGCAGATTACTTGCTCATTATAAGTTCATCTCCTTCGTTCACAATTAAATTTAGAATAAGTCAGATTAAAATCGAAAAGAAAACGACAATTTCCTCCTTCCATGTTTTAAGATGGTATCTTATCGTTCTTAACTCTATTTTACTCACTTGTTTACTTGATAATTTTGAGCAGAAACCATTCTAATGGTATATGCAAAGTATGTTTGAAAATTTAAATGCAGCGTGCTTGAATAAGTCATGTTTGTTTTCAAAAGAAAAGTTGTCAATCAATTTTCGTTCATTATACACTTTACGAGGATTTATCTTAAGTTCATTGAACTTCAATAGTTGTAAGCTACAGGCACAAACGTAAAAGAAACCTCTGCAAAAGGAAACAACAGAATTAGTTGTATAATCTGACAACATTTTTCAAGGAACATTCCAACAGCTGATAAGTTTATGGTGAGTCGTACTGAAACTAGTTATGCAATATATTTAAAAGAACCGGTAGCGCTTGCCAACATGCTCAATATGGCGCTTTTAATTGTATGTGTTTTCAAGTGTTTAGAGCTTGATTCCATGGATGTGTATGTTTTTATTTTACTGTAAACATTGAGATTAATATTATAATATAAATAACCATCGCTACTATAGTACTGGCAAACCATTGCTAACCACAGTTGACAGAAAGCTAATTAAAATTGTTCCTATTGTTAGAACATTGTGGATTCAATGCAAAACATAAAGAGATTCAAAAACCTTCATAAAAATTGATCTGTCAAAGAAAGCGTTCAGTGTGGAGAAACTGCCACGATCCAACCAAACGTCACTCGGGCCCGCTGTAGGATATTCGAGTGAAGAAGATAGGTTTTGGCGGACGGCAGAGTTGGATGATCTCATATTGTATAAGAATGGAGCATTTTCTCATAACGACGGAAATGAAGGAGGAGTTACGAACGCTGGTTTTAACATTGTAACATCGACTGATAATACCACCGCTAGAAATACACATGGTTATGACACTGAACGGCAGTTGTCAGATTTTGGCACGAAACTTACAGAACGAAACTATGATATGAATTGTGAAGTAGCAACACAGCACAGTGCAGAAATGGATGGACAGTATTCTGAAGAAATACCAAAACAAAACAAACTATACTCTAGTAGCCATGATTTTAACAACAATTTTACAAATGGTGAAGAGAATGATTTAGGACGTATAAGTAGGAGTGGTCTCAGTTCTTCAAGAAGCAACGTTAAGGAGTCAAGGTGGTTAACTTCCCCAAAGAAGTCAGATGAGGAATACGCCGCTTCTCAGACTACGGAAGCCATATTAGCAGAAATATTTGGTGAAAACACTCGCATACCAGAACAAAGAAAGAGAAGATATTTCAATGGTGAAGCCTTTGGTGAGCATCACACGAAAGAAAATTACAATGGAGTAGAAGCATATAGTCATAGAAAAAATGCTTCCATTAAAGTCGAGCCGGAAAATATACGGGGGGAAACCAGCATTACAAATCCATACAATGACACATCTCCAAAACATTTTAGCATTGAGGAAAGGAATGATGAAGGTTCATCAAAAGGTGAATGTGATTATAATGGAAATGATTTCACTACAAATAATACACAATCTAAAAGAGGCCGTAAAGAAATTGCTTATGGAAGAGAAATGTTTCCTTATAGTGATGCATCGCAGATTACATTGGAACATAATGCCGAAAACCATTCGACAATTAATGGTGTGAAGCGACTGTACCAAAATACATCTTCAAAACAACGTGTTTCTAGTTCCATTGAAAACGCCTCGTATTTAGACAAATATCCCACGTTGAAAGATATCCCTTTAACAAGACCTGAGTCTACTGGAAGAAGTCAAGCTACGCAAAGTTTGACGAGGTCTGTGAATATCGCTGCAGGCAAAACTTCAAAACGAATGACATCAAGTCCAGCTGCTTTGCATCGTACAGCCCTTGTTCAAAGTAATGTGGTTGGTTATTATGAGAAGTTGAAGAGTGAAGGAAAAATACAGTCATTCCGAGAAACAAGCTTGATAGGTAGAACTACTTCACGAAAAGGTTTCAGATCAAAAAGCAGTGAAACGCCGATAAAGAACGATCTATCTACCTCGCCTTATAGGTAAGCTCAAATATTTATTAGTTAAGGAGTAACTTATTACGTCATGTAATTCGGAAAATCAGAAATTGGGGGCACATCCAACGCACCAAACTCTCCTGAAAGAAGGTCTTCGCTCGTAACGTCGGAATCCAGTGCTTATTTTGGGGATCAAAGAACCCAAAAGCTTAAAGATTTTTATAGAAAAGTTTATCTGGCCTGGTAAATCGTAAGGATGTTAAAAAAGTGTGAACTAAAAATTTTTGCTTTTTAGTTTATCAAAGTCTTGGGGATCAACAAGGAGTAGAAAGGAATTTCAATCATTAAATGGAAACGGTGGAAAAGCTAAAGATCAAACGGTAATACGCGGGGCATGTTTTATATTTCAAGCACGTTTGAAGAAGGGAGTTTCATGGAGAGGGAAGACCTAATGAAACTGAAACGCATTAAATAATTCGCTAAACTAACGCGAACTACTACATAATTATCTAATTAGTAATTCGTATATCTAATTAGTACATTAATTTATCTAATTAGTAAATTAATATATCTAATTAGTACATTCGTATATCTAATTAGCACATTCGTATGTCTAATTAATACATTCATATATCTAATTACATTCATATATCTAACTAGTACATTCATATAACTAATTAGTACATTCATATATATCTAATTAGTACATTCATATATCTAATTAGTACATTTATATATATCTAATTAGTACATTCATATATATCTAATTAGTACATTCATATATCTAATTAGTACATTTATATATATCTAATTAGTACATTTATATATATCTAATTAGTACATTTATATATATCTAATTAGTACATTTATATATATCTAATTAGTACATTCATATATATTTAATTAGTACATGTGTATTTCCGTCGTGTTGTTGTGAAAATAGAGAAGGTCGTTCTCTAAAAAAACGAAACGTATTAGAGAGGGGGCTTTACACATGGGGGCGGGAGGGCAGGGAGAAGGTTTACAATACTGTGATTATTTGATATATTTTCTTAGTACAAGCTCATTTCTTTTTAGAATGGTCTTAGCCAGAAGGAGAAAATTGAACAGATGTTTCAAATGGAAGGAGAGATCAGTCTAAAAAGGTTTTTTTGATATTCTTAAAATACTACTAAACCACAAGAAAGGAATAGAACCTTTGAACGCCTCTGCCTAATACACAACGCGGCCGCGTAGTATTATCTCAATAGTTCCTATATAATTATATTGTGTAGATATAACAAAGCATTAAACATTGATTTTCTTTATAATATAACTTCAAAATCAACTGTGCATATCTTGTTTTGTAGAGCTCAGGAATTTGAGAAATCGAAGTTGTTGCGAAAAGTCTTTGTTGCCTGGCAAAGAAGAGCACAAGTTTTGAGACTCAAAGCAGATGAATTATGTAGAGTACATCTCTTACGAAAGGGATTAAAGGGGTTAATGTACGCCATAGAGCATCAAAAAATGGCTGTTGATCGTTTTGCTGGGAAAGGGAGTAAAGTTTTGGTCGTGAAATGTTGGCGAATGGTAAGATTGCGATAACGTGCTTTTGTTTTGTGGAACACGCCGCGCATAATTATTGCTTTTGATCCGTAGGCCTGGATCTTCATCAGTTGTTTTATTTTGAAAACACAAGATGTGGCGAGCTGTATGGAGAGGATAGACTGTATACGATGTTGGGTTTTCTTCTGTTTTTTTAGTGGCAACAAAAAACACGCGAAAAACAAAGAAAGAAAATGCAAGAAACATTTGCGCAGTGGCGTTACTATCAATTGCATGTTGAAAGGTTCGTGTGGTGGAAAGATTAAAAAAAAAACAACATTGTGTAAGGTTAAGGAGGCAAGGATTCTCAAAGAATGCTTTAAATAGACGACGCATAAAATCGCCACCAGTAGGAATTTGAGCCCAGAATTCCATATACACTACTCCTTCAAGTGAAGGCGCACTTCATGCAGTGCAGAATCATTGTATTGCCAGCTTTCCCTCGGTGGATATGTTAATTAGGCAAAATGTCGCACTTACATCATGTGCCGGAACAAATGTTAATGAGCAGAACTCCATTATTTGAGCTCATTTGCACTAATGTCGACACACGAAAAGTTTATCGTTTCAACTAAACCTTACGATAATTACTTTGTTCATTTTATTTAGAACCACACTACTGGAGAGTATTGCTAACAGGCATTTTTTGTCCAAAAATTATTCCAAGTGGAAAACGCGGTTTAACTCGAAACAGAAAAACAGTTTAGCAAATGTTCATTTCAAGTGAGTATAAAATATTTACTTTATATTCATTTTATAAATACCTTAGATAAAGGGGTTGTACTTTTCTAAGAAATTCATTTTCTTTTCTTTTTCTCAGAATCAATTTGATTTACAAATACTGGAATTGCTGGGCAGTTTACGTGAAAGAACGTCGTGTCAAGAATCGCTTAAACAGCATAGCAAGGTAGTGACAGATCATCTCATTGTGTATAAGTAACATTTATAAAAAAATATATAATTAATCTATTATTTTAATTGTTATAGATACCATCATGGAGAGAAGATTCAGTGTCATCTTTTTCAGTATTGGAAAAGCATCACCCAGAAGTCGTTATTAAGTCGTCGTCTTGCAAGGTTTTATCGAAATTTTATTATTAGCTTGTAGTAATTACCCGTGAATTGTGAAATAAATAAAACAAAAATGTACTCGTTTACAGATATTTTTAACATTATCCAGATAATATAATACTTCATTCTTTCATATTTTTAGACGACGGGTTTTGTTAAAAGCTTTTTTCCACTGGAAACACTGGACACAATATGCTAAGTAAGTTCACGACTTTTGTTTAAAATGCCCTAAAATGATTTTTCGCTTGTGTACCACCAGTATACCGGTAATATTTGGGTCATTCTCAAAAGAAATGTATGATATTTTTGTTGGGAAAACCTCATCTTCATCGAATTGTTCACTGTAGAAGTTGCCGGATATGATGAACTACAAATTAATTTAATTAATTCCGTTTAATTTGCAGAATTGTTCATTTACGGTTACAAAACATGTCTAAGGAATACCACAGGAAAACAATAACAAGAAGAATGTTTAAAAAATGGAGACAAGCTAAGAGAATGAAAATGGCTCTTGAGTTTTGCAGAAAAACACAGCAAAGGTATGGATATAGTATATATGGTACTAATCATGTTGCAACTGAGGGATAAATTGCAAAGGATACAACTCAAACATGGTCGTGCGATCGTATCCAAGACTTTCTGTGTCGCCTCTCTTAAGGTGGTTACTGGGCGTACCCTCGAAGCAGAAGAGAGAATTATAATCATAACTCTACCTACATGAGGTTTGAACCATGGCAAATCAAAGCTGTATATACCCTCGCGTTGACCGCATCTGCACCGCCTCCGCACAGCCACCTTAAGCATTTACAAAGACATGAAGTTTCCGAAAAGAGCTAAGTGAGCGCGCGGGGAGTGATGGGAAGATTGAAATAAAGAGTCTGCCTCCCCCCCCCCCCGTACTTAGATAGATCCTTATAATACTTGTCCGTAATCAGTTTGTTCTTAATTAATCCATTCTCTATCAAGGTTGAGGCCTGCATTAATATGAGCTGCGTGTTTCGTATATGTGACGACAGTTTCAGCTCATGACTTCGCCAGGTTATACATTTTTAATTTGCTTTTTGACAGTCGAGCAATGAAGTTATGGAATTTGAGATACATGAGGAAACGGATCCACAAACACTTGTGTAAAGCTTTAGCAAGAAAGGTAAAATATCTTTTGAATCAGGATTTGAATCAGGATTGTCATTTGTTCTTTCTGGGGTTTTTTTCAATCCTCTTAGTTTTTTATGCAATTTCTTGTCAGGCAAAGAAGAGAAGATTCTTGGAGAAATGGATTTGTTTTGTAAAGCTACAGAAGCAATCGCGAGGAGAATTTATCAAAATATTACAAATCGTCCACATCAGAACATTTTTCAAATGTTGGAGAAATGAAACAACAGAAAGAATTCAAATGAGGTAGAACTGAGACGAATAATTCCAAGCTTTTTTAATACTTGATTGTGAAGGCTTCGTAGTCAAGGATATTTTATAAATTTCATAGAAAATCACTGAAGACATTTCAACAAGAGAGAGTCAAAAGAATCGTTCATAAGCAATGGGAATCCTGGAAATTTCAGCTGAAAATTCTGGAAATGAGAGAACGTTCCAAGAACAATTGGTCACTGCGATGTGTTAGAAGATGTTGTCAAGTGTGGAAATTGAAGGTGAAGAAAATGCAGCTAGGAATGAAACTTCATCAAAGTTGTTCAACATTCGAGATCCTTGTTGCAAGACGTAAGAGAATCCTTTCCTTTATTTCCTTCTTTCCATTTTCAGCAGCTGACATACTGGAGATATTTTGAGCTATTTAAACATTATAATATGTGCCAATGCAGGTCGTGCCGATGATAAGAACGCTTCGGATTGATAGGGTTGCAACTACATGAGAAAACAAAGAGAACTTCCATGTTTCATCGAGAAGTTATTCATTTCTTATTCAAACATCACCCTGTGTTTCTTGCAGGTTATTTCAAGTCGTGGCAGATTCAATTACAGAAAGTGAGAGAACAGAATGCAAGGGCTGAGAACGTGGCGAGAATTTTACAAAAGAACAGACTTGGCCGCGTCCTACAAGCATGGCGGGTTGTGAATCAAGAAGAATGCATTATTGAACCTCTCGTCAAAAGACGTGTACGTAGAGACATGGCAAGGTGTGGTTTATTTTTTATCTTTTTAATATCGTTTACACAGAATGTGGTCGCCCCAGACCCAGTATTTATAACCCCCAATGATTATATTACTTCTGACTCTGCTTACAATCATTCAAATATACCTCATTTGATATCTGAACGAATGTATTTTAGAGTGTTTGATGCTTGGCGTCGTTATATATCGCGTGGAACTTGTTTGAGAAGATTACACGACACGAAAAATGACAGATTGAAAAGGACTGCATGGGAAACGTGGAGGTTTGTCAAATATTAACGCTGTCTTTAAATGAGAAACCCAGATTTTTCAATGAAGGTAGACGTAAATCATGATATAATACCAATATGTGTGTTTGCCATGCATCAGTGACCTTAACGATATCGGTAGACTGTGTACAAGTCAAAAGGTTAAAAAAACGGTTACTCGAGCTTGATAAAATGTTCGTATTCTTCAAAAATCTTAAAGGTACGAATGATATTTTATGAATGTTTATTTTTCATTTAGTGTCAAGCTGTGGTGTAGAGCAAAAGAAAAAGAAGTTGAGGAAACATTGCGCTTTTCAAAAGTAGCGAGACACTTCTTCGTTTGGCTGGGTTCGTGTTCAAATTCATATTTTTTGTTTTTATTTACGTAACAAAATTACAATAAGGTAGGTGACATTACAAAAGGACCTCGTGGGTTCCCTACAAGGTAATAAAGCTAAAACTAGGTTTATTTTGAATCAGATTTATTTTATCATGCATTAATATTGCAGAGTACGTGAGAGAGTTGCGGCAGAGCGAGAGAATGGCTGAACAGAGAAAGGAAAGTATGATGAGAAAATATATTCAAACATGGAGGAAAAATGCGGCACAGAAAGCTGAGTTAAGAGAATCAGAAAATGCACAAAAGGTGGGGGAACCAGCTGTATTCGTTTTTATTTTCAAAACGTTATCACTTTCACTTACGGCGTAGCTGAACTTGCTAAATTTTGATATGTTTTTTGACAACAGCATTCAAATATTTTCAATATCTTTCACTGCAGTACCATCGTCAAATACTTCTCCGTTGTTTCTTTACATCCTGGAAGCAGAAGGCCACACAGCATGCGCAACGTATGACTTCAATGGTAAGAAGAGCGGATGAAGCGAGGCAGAGAATACTCATGAGACGATCATTATCAAGATGGCAGAGACAATATTTAGTGGAACTCAAGACAAGGTATGCAGAATTTATCAAACTGGACAGGCTGATAGAGAGTATTGTACTATATTTATGGTCGTTGAAGAATTTTTGTAGATGGAAATCTCGAGCGGAATATTATATAGAATTTTCAGACCTAACCAGGAACAGCTATGAAAAATGCAACTATATACCCTCTGACAGGAATCCAACCTGCGGCCAGTGCTCTGAGCTACAGAGTCCAGTTGTCGAACTCTAACCACAAGTTCTTGTGTATATATATATATATATATGTTAAGTTGTGTTATTGTACACTCCGTAATATGTTAAGATGAAAATGTTCTAGAGTGTGTATAATATAATTTCCATACCCAGCGCAAGCAGAAAGATGTTGTCTGCCGCGGCTGGGTCTTGAACCCGCGACCTTCGAATTACTAGATATAATTAATAGATTTGAAGATTTGTAATCCAGGCATTTTATTAAATTATAATTTTTACAAAATTATACAGTGTTCTCCGAAAAAAATAATAAAACAAATAATTACAATCTGGAGAACACTGTAAAATTTTGTAAAAAATATAATTTAGTATATATAGATGATGCCAGTATAATAAAGAATCTCGATATTTATACCCATACCTTATACTGGCATCACCCTCTATTTATGGTACTCTATTCCAAGCTAGAAAACTGGAAGAAATATTGGGTGAGATAATAAATATACTCAAGTTAAATTATTTTTTCTCACAGAGAATATGTAAAGTTAAAGTGGCATGAAATATTAAAGACAATAGTTTTGGCCTGGAAAGATTTTGCAAAAACCGAACTGGAACGTCAAGTTTGCGACTTTGCCACGAACCTCGCTATGGACTCGTCCCAGGGCTCCGCATTCTTATCAACTTCTGGTTACCAGACCTCTTTAAAGAACTCATCTTCATCTTTTCAATTTCTTGCTGCCGATGAGGAGGTCAGTGTTACCAGTAATTATATTTGCAAACCATACTTAATGTATTCAGAGCGAGGACCTCATAGTGTTTTTCATTTCTAATTTGGTTGTTCTGCAAGTAAACTTCAAATGCTCTGAGAAGATTTCGGTGTCCTATGTTGGGATCAAAATTGTTGCCTTCACAATGTAAACCCAACGGTGTACTAGTTTAGGCAGTATGGGAAGTTGTATTGACAGTAGCCTAAATTCGTGTTTGTTTTATCATTTTCCAGATCTTCTCTCCAATTCCAACTCCGCGTTCTCGGCCAGTTACTCCAACATTAAACGATGATGACATCTCAACTCCAAGATCATTCGCCATCATACCTAGTTACCGTCCTGTAACCATAGACCGACAGATACCCCTCGTCTCTGAACGACCAACGAGTCGGTGTGCATCTCCGCTGACCAGACAGCGCAGTCTTGAACAGATGTCACAAACATCACCACAACGATCAAGTGAAGACGACACGGTTCTTTCTTCTGGAGTTCATTCTTCCGGGGTTCATTCTGCCGGGGATGAAAGTGACCAGGTGACGTAATAATAAGATCATTATTCTCATGCGGCACAAGCGCAGAAGCCCTGGGTACGAGGTTGGACGATGAAAACAAAGTTAGACTGGAATGTTGAAATATGGAGTCGTGGATGTAACTTGTTCGGGGATTGCATTCACTGACTTAGGGCCTGTTTATATGGACGCCGGGCTGGCCCGCTTAGCGAGACAGACCTAATTTATGAAGATGATTACCGTGTTAATAAGATGACAGTGCGATACTGGTTTCCTTTGTGTTTCACTCATGGATTATCACTGAGTTGTATTTAAACGTCAAATGAAATTTGTTTTTCTTGCAGGATGATCGGACGTCTATTCATATTACCGAATCCCTATACTCGTACCAGACCACCAGTGATGGTATCGCACGCGACCGTGAGCTCTTGGTAGCTGAGACTATAATCCATTGGCGATCTTTGTCACTGAGTGTGGCGTTTCGTTCGTGGTATAAATACACGCGACACATGAATCTCGTGAGAATGACGTATGGTGAGTGGATGGCGCGAGATAAGGAGAGACTGGTGACGAAATATCTTGGGACATGGAGACGTTGGTTATTTGTTTCTGTACTGGCCAGACAACATTGGGTGAGCTTTTCAATTTCTGATTTTCCTGATTCATTTTCTAGATTGTCTGGATGGCGTTATAAGTAAATGTCATTGAGTAACTTTGTATTACAGTCGATTTCACGAAAGTTTGATCACAAATGCTTCAAGCTTCGTTGCGAAGTTCGCAAGTTCGTTGCGAAGTTCGGAAATTCATATTGGTATTCACAAGCAAATTTGAAGTCCCTGATTGGTCCCTGAAGTAATTATGAAGCCAATCACATGCGTAGTTCACAAACTGGTTTGTGAATCTCATTATGATCTTTTGAACTTCTCAACGAAGTTCGGAACATTTGTGGTCAAAGGTATCTGAAATCGACTGTAAAGGCTGCATTCGCGTGTTTCATACGCACGGAAAAGTTGAATCTTTGTAAATTTTATAGAAGTACTAATTACCTCATCCTAACCATCACATGTTGTTGGTGTTCGCATACGTCAGAATGAGAAGGTTGCAGCTTTGTTGTAGCCTGCTAACAGAATTATTGTAGAAGATATAATGATTGAAGGAACATTAGGTAATTTCTCTTTCCATTTTCTAGGTGAATCAAATGAAAAGGAAATTCTTGTTTCAATGGATAAAATATCGCAAGCAACAACTCCAGAGAAGGCGGCAGAAAGATGAAGCTGATCATTTCTCGAACAGAAATTTCCTGAAGAAGTTTTACAACACTTGGAAGCAAAAGGTCGGTCACTGCGTGCATGATTTGATTTCCATGTGTATCAAGCGAACGACGATTAGCTCAAACATGACAGAGTCGAATGTCTAGGGCGCCTGGCTGCCACGATACGAACCATAGATCAAGGTGGAAGCTAGGGTTATATAGTTTCTTTATAAGAGAAGAAAAAATCCCTCGATCACAAAAGGGAACCAACCACATGAATTTAGAAGTACATCAAGTCAGAGCAGTTAGGTTACTGTGTGGCATGTTCAGTTGTTTTTTCTATCAGTAACCGTTGGTTGTTGTTCTGTTTGGTAATCATTATTTCCACTGTTTAACAGAGAACAGCAAAATGTCAATTACAAAACATTGTCTTGCGATGGCAACGGTCGGCGAAAGGTAAGACTTGGGATTATTTTCAAATACACTTTCATGATGTTTGCATCATGGTGATAGATATAACATTTGTTGTGGTTTGTGGTGTACACAATTTTATTTATTATTGCTTTCGATCCGTAAGCCTGGATCATTACTGCTTGTAGTATATTCCATTACTGGAAGGAAAAATTATTGCTTTTCATTTCCTTTCATCCTGTCAGAAAATAATTCTATCAAATATTTTTGTAGTTACCGACATGGATAAACAAGTGATCGAGCAATATAAAATCAGAGATCGAGTGAATTGTTTAAGAAGAACGTTTCATTATTGGAAAAAGGCAGCACGTTTTTCCCAACAAGCGACGCATATGTCTCAAACTTTATCATTACGAAGGTCAGCACTTGTAGTTTCTGTTGAAATAAAATGAAGAAAATCCTCTGAAGTAATGATTGATGAATTATAGGCGTTAAAAAATTATATCTCTGACTTTTGATTTATTTTGCCTAATTTTGTATAGATGTGTCTTAGCCTGGCGAGATATCACTTCATTTCGAACTGCACATCGTAAGAAGATGGAGACATTCAGAGCTAAACATGTGTTAGCAAAGGTTGGATAAGAATATTTGAACTGTCTTGCTAAGCCTTAAGGCCCATTTCCACTCAAGAAAATTTTCCACGTACAGAAAATTTTCCCAAAATATCATTGTTAAAAAGTGAAAATTTTCAACTTCAAAATTTTGTTCCGACGGAAAATTTGTGTCGGCCAATCACATTTTACAAAGTTTTCTTTCTGCGGAAACTTTTCCTGAGTGGAAATGAACCTTAAGAGTTCTTCTCTGTCAAATGTTATGGATATGAACATCTGTCTTTCTAAGTTGATTAGACTGCTCTGTAATCTACTCATTTTGTCTTTCAGGCTTTCAACGAATGGCTGTTACGTTACGAAGACGTTCGGACCGCCAGAATTATTCTTGGGGTAACATTTTTAGTCGTAATGCAGTGTATTCATTTTTTCGAGAATATTGACCCAAAAACATCTCGTTTAGGTTTCGGAAGAAAGAAAAATTGATAAGATTTTTAAAGCATGGCATTCCTGGGCTACAGGTGAATTTGATTTAAATTTAAGTTTAAAAATGTGAAAATTTTAATATTCTTATTATTAATTAGAATTGATAATAAGTAGTTCTAATTTCTAATTATTGTTTTGACATAGCGACAAGCTATAGAAGAAAGGCATCTCTTGCGTATCACCGTTCCCAAGAAGAAAGAAAATTGAAAGAGAAATTTTTATTTTGGTTCGCTGCTGCCAAGGAATGTATTAATATGAGAGAATATTATCACAAGTCTCTGCAGAGAAGGTGAGGAAAGGAAGGGAGAATTATTAACATCCTCAATTGTAAGACATAGCTAGGCAGGCGAGGGTGTGCTAATTCTTACTTGCAGCTGGGAGCTGAATTACAGTATTGAGAGGAACAATTCATTCTAAGAAAAAAACCAAAGAAATTGAATTTATTTTTTATGTAGAGTTCTCAGATCCTGGCGTGCTGTTTTAGTACAGAAAGCTAGTACTAATACATCTATTCAAGAATTTCAAAGTATCGTCCTGAAAAATTCGGTAATTATTAATAGTAATCATTGTATTCATGCAGTCTCTGAGGGTCCTTTCGTTAATTTTCAATATATTAATGAAAGAAAAATTCGCAAACGTCCATAAATTTATTTTAATATATTTGTAGTTACGTTCAACGTTCATTTTTTGGCGTAAGAGAACAAAGAATAATGAAACTATGGTTGAGTATTCAAAATTGAAAAAGAAACAACATCTTGCGTCAGCTTTCAATCGATGGAAACAGCAGAAAAGGAAACAAGATGCTAAGAAGCATTTCTTTCAAAGTCTCATGAGAAAGGTAATGACATTGTGTTTCGAATAAATCAACAAGCCACTCTCTATTAAAGCCCCCTTCCACGAATGTGTCTGAAAACGAGGCTTAACTGAGGATTTGCTGCATTTACCGGATCAGGTTTTCATCTTCCTTATTCTTGTTTTTAGATGTTTACGTGTTGGTGTGAACAGATTCTGAAACGAAACAAGGTATTTGATCACCGTTATAAGTGAAGAACAACTATCAGTGTTATGTACACTAGTATAGAAGAATTTCTTTCGCAAATTAGTATTCTGTTGAGCAAAAAACCTTCAGTTTTGTTATATATCAATTTTCAGGCCCGACAGCATTTTAAATTTTGGCAAACTAAAGCCGAAGGTTGGTGTCACCATAGTTTTTGAAATTGAAGAAATTCAACCGGTAACTTCTATGAGTTTTTATTAATTACTTTCACTTTTCTAGGAAATAAAGAACTAAATCAAGTTGCAGATACCCTAGTGTATGATTCTGAGAATAAATTATTAAGAATGAAGTTTATGTTTTGGAGAAAGCTCACAAAACATTCGCAAGTTGCCAAATATCACCATGAAACGAAAATGATGCGAAGGTATGAAAGTAGTGTACTTGTCTCAGATATACAAACTCCTTCATGGTAATGATTTCCTTCATGTTTCCGTCGTGAAACTAACGTTTAATTTTTGTTTTAGACATTTTCTAGGCTGGTATGATCATTTTGGTAAGGAAAAAAGACTTTTGAACCAACTGAAAGAGTTTCAACGTTCACATCAGCGAAACCATTCAGGTTTGCTCACCAAATACATGAAAATATGGCTGAATAAATCTACGTTTTCAACGAAAGCTGAGAATTTGGTTAGTTTTATATCTGATGCATTAAAATTACAAATATATTTCGATATTGAAGTGACATATAAAGGTTTTCTTACTGTCTAATGTAACTGTATGATTTCGTAAATGCGTGGATCTGTAACTGAAGATAAAGGGCCAATATCTCAAATCAACAAGACGAGGCTCTGTAGCCAAGGCCGAGTACTTTCAAGTGCAACTCTATTTTCACATGTACCACGCAGGTCTCATAAAGGTCCATAGATTGAAGAAGATATTCTTTTCTCATTTCAGTATAATGAAACGTTATATTCAAGATACTGGAAAATGTGGCGACATAACTTCGTTCGAAGTAGAGTTTCATCAGCTATGGTTCATCATGACAACCAGAAAATACTATCCAAAGTAAGAAATGTAATAATAGAGTTATATAGAGTCGACGACTGCAGACATTTGCCCGTGTTTTTTTACTGATAACTGACAAGATATCTTAACTGATAGCTGACAAACAATAAAACAGCAATTTGTAACTGATATACTTATCTTTGGTTTTTAGGTATTTATTTCTTGGTTCAACGTGACTGCCTCACACAAGAACTTATCAAAGGAAATCAAGTCATCTTGTCTAAGAAAATGGTTTCGAAAGTGGATGGCACGTTACAATAATTCCTAGAAATTTTTGCGGTTTTGCTGGTGTTTTTGTGTGTGAAACGACAGATTATTTTACGTATAAATAGTTAATATATATAATGCTTTTATATAGAAGAGTTTTATATTTTGTACAGTTCACTAATTTATATGTTGTATAGTCAACAATTAATTTTTCTCTTAGTATGCCAGGCTAAATATAAAAATAAATTATAGATGTTTTCAATGCAGTTTTTTGTTTAATTTTTTGTCGGTAATTGTGTTTGTGACATGATGCATTCTTAAGGCTGATTCATACTACGCAACTTTTGCCTAAAACTGTCGCATACAACCTGCTTACAACTTGAGTTGACTGTTTAAATGAGTCAAATCAAGCACACAAGGTAGGAGGGGCCAACAGGTTAACTAATATCTATTATCAACTTGAAGCATAGTTAGTAGAAAAATTGTCTTAATTTTAATAATACAAGAAAAGAAAAAAGTTATTTTTTTAACTGTAATTAGCAAAGCTTTGCAAGCTGTTAGTTTCACCCATCTGAAGCCAGTGGGATGATTTGAACTAATATTTATATAAGTTATGTTATATTTACAAAAGCATTTGATGTTGCATTGTTTATCATAACTGTGCCAAACTTAGCCTAACTAAGATCATATAATAACACCCTATATTAAATAGTGGCAAGAAAATTTATCAGACTAGGAGAAGATGTCTTCTGATCAGATTCTAATTTCTCCTTAGCAAGAAGTTCCTGGAGTCTGCTTTTCGTCTTCTTTTTATCATAACTGTGCCAAACTTAGCAGCCTAACTAAGATCATATAATAACACCCTATATTAAATAGTGGCAAGAAAATTTATTAGACTAGGAGAAGATGTCTTCTGATCAGATTTTAATTTCTCCTTAGCAAGAAGTTCCTTGAGTCTGCTTTTCGTCTTCTTTTTATTTCCTGATGAATTTTCTAATCCTGACCCGGATTGCTTCTGTATTCTGGACAGTTCTGGAGTAACAGGAGCATTCCTTGATAATTCGGGTGTTTGGCACACCATGTCACCCTGATCTGATCCATTGTTCGTCTTTCTTCTTGCACCAGCTTGTCTGCTTTTCCACCCACAATAATGGCAAAGAATTTGCAAGAAATTGGACGATTTGGGAATAATGTTCAGATTTCTGTCGTTTTTTACATTGCATTTCTTTCTGCGTTTTCGTTTAGGCTTAATTCTGAATGTACAGTTTCTATGTGTAAATATGGTACCACAGTGTTCACAGGCATTTGAAGTCCACTGAAAATTGTCGCCAAAATCTTCAATATTTGGGCCATTTAGACGTTCAAAGTATTTCATCATCATAATTCTTGATAGTTCTGGACATTTCTCGCGATATTCGTTGGTTACTGCTTTCAAAAATCGCAATTTTCTGGCAGCCATTTCAAAACATTGAACTGTTTTCAAAACTACGCCACTGATCTCAAAGTATGACCTGGTATGACTTGACTTAAAATGAGCGATGAATTGAAAAGTCTGGGAACGAGTCTTGCGAAAACAACATGGCGGCGAAGATGAGCAAATCTGTTTTTCGTTCTTCTGCGAATGGCCACTCGGATTTGAAGCAAGATATATCACCAACGAAGCAAGAAAAAGTTGTAATATTAGATGCTGGAGCTCAGTATGGCAAAGTAAGTTTGGAATGTTTAAAATTGCGTTTTTTGCGAGGTTTTACTTTTCCATACTACAGTTCACTACTTTACTATTCAGATTTCAGAATACTATTGTTGATATATATCAAGTCCAAATGGCGTCAGAAACTCATCTGTTCGTTCACAATATTATGCATAAAATGATGGAAGCTTCAAATATGTAGAAAACATGAGTTATTATTATTTACAATACTTGAAGCAATAACTAAAATTCATTTTATACGAAACGATAGTAATTCAGTACTAATTCTGAACGCAGTATTAAACAATTTAAAAGTGAAAATGTTACTATCATTTTCAAAATAAAAATTGTTTACTATGTTCAGAGTTACTACTTCAACTACTGTTTTGTATTTTGTAAAAATACTCTGTACAAATAATTTGCAGAAAACGAATATGTCGGACAGGTCCACAGTGATTTATATCTTATGCCAAGCCCTGACTGGAAGTTTGGAAATTGTGCACCTGAGATTTCAAAAATTTAAGTGGCTCGGATTATTTTCACACTAATTTATTCTAGTTAATTAATTAAAGATTTATCAAAATCTCACATTTCGAAACACATTTGATGCAAACAATATTTTGTTATTTCTGTTTATTGCAATCAAAAGATGTTCGCATCCTTTGGAAAATTTGGTTTTAAAGTGTAGGTTTTCTGTAGTCACTTATAGTTGAAGAATTATGAATAATAAACCAAGCATTTGTTGCATTTTTAGGTAATTGATCGACGGATACGAGAGTTAAAAGTTGACACAGACTTTTTGCCACTTGAGACCCCAGCAGCTATTATACAGCAAAATAAATACAAGTAAGCATTCTCTCATTCAATGGGCCATTCCAGAAAACATCCTTCCCATGCCCATGGAGGAAATTGGAAGTTAACCCCCCTCCCCACATCCTTCGGATATCCTAATACACAAGTTTACTATTATCAGAGACAATTTTTTCCCCCCTCCAATTTTTTCCCCACTCAATTATTTTAGACAGTTCAGACCAAATAATAACATATAAACGTTTGCCAACTCAATGCTGTTGTGTTTTCTAGAGCAATAATTGTTTCTGGTGGTCCAGGCAGCGTCAATGACGTAAATCCTGTATGGTGTGATCCAGAGATATTTGAATTGGAAATTCCTATTCTTGGTATCTGTTATGGACATCAGGTGTGCTGGCGGGAAATACATTATTGTAAAACTCTTCTTGATCTTCCCAGTTAAACCACTGGGGGCTTCCTTTTGACGAGTAAAAGTGTCTGGTGTTAGACAAAGTAAAAAAGTAGGGTGCATTAGGACACAATGCAACTTAACGGAATAATTGCTTCATTAAAAACACACACAAAAAACTTCGATCCTTGCTTTTCGCAATAAACATTTGGCTTAAAAAAATTTTGTATCATCTGATATGGCTGGTCATATTGTATATATATTAGATATTTATTCAACAATATATATCACCATTTTGATGTTAACCTATTACATATGGCCAAACACTTAAAAATTCCTTTGATGAGTAAAATGATCTGGCATTAGGTCTAAATTATCATCAAAACAAGTATTATGAAGTGTAAAGAATAACATGTTTTTGTTTTAGTTGATGAACAAGATATTTGGTGGTAAAGTTGAAAAGAAAAGCTCTCGAGAAGATGGCCAATTTACAATACATGTTGATACTACATCCGCATTATTTTGGTGAGTTGTAGCACTCTGCCCTTGATAAGTAATATAATAAAGAGTAATATAATAAAATAATGTGCATTGAGGGCACATTGCCAGTAAGGGATAACAAGTAAAATAAATTTGGCAGACAGGCTATTGAGATGTATTGACACTTTATTTATACACTACATGTGAAATAGTCTGTATCTATTTTGTCTTTTGTGTGCTGTATTGAAATCAGTTTTTACTAAAGTGGTGTAAATTATACTCTGTTTTGTAGTGGTTTAAGTTCATCTCAAGAAGTCTTACTTACTCACGGTGATACCGTCACAGAAATAGCTCCTGGTTTTAGAGAAATAGGGAAATCTGGTGATCTTATAGCAGGTTAGTTTTCACTCTTAAGCCAAATTTCTACCACAAGTAACATGTATTGCATGTCACTGAATGAAAATGATGTAAACACAGTAACAATTTGTTTAAGATGTCACTGTCTTGCAAACCTTTCAAAACTATTTGTAGACACTGTATGAAAATATTGCATTATGTGATTACATCATCATTAGAGTTAATGAAATGTTTTTCCAGCTGCTGATAATGAGGCAAAGAAAATGTATGGTGTCCAATTCCATCCTGAGGTAGATTTGACAAAATGTGGGACTCAAGTATTCAAGAATTTTCTTTTCAAAGTGAGTCCTTGATGATTTGATTTATGATCATAGTTCTTCACTTCTGATGATTTTATTTTCTCAGTCAATCTGTGTTTGTTTTACTTCCTACATTTCCTATAATTGTGTAGATTGCAGGCTGTGCAGGTGACTTCAGTATGCAATGTAGGGTCCAGACATGTATTGATGCAATAAAGAAACAGTGTGATTCATGTAAAATACTGGTAAGAAATTGTCATGTAGATAGACTGTAAATATTAACCACATATGAATACACCTCAACAGTAGTTGTTTTACATGCAGCTGATCTTAATCCTCAATTTCCAGGCTAGCATAATTTTGTTGAGTAATTTTTACACTGGTCTGTACACATACTGCAAAAGGATGTGTACAGTACAAACATGAAAATTTTCAAACAAAATGATACTAATTTCTCAAATATTGGAATTATTTCTTTAGTCTCTAGTGAGTGGTGGTGTTGACTCTACAGTTTGTACTGCATTGTTAACTAAGGTAAGCCATTTCTGCTGAGAGCTTTTGCAATCCTCAATAAAAGAATAGGACAATTACCCATTTCCCAAAGTCCTGGGCTAGTCACAAACATCCCTTGCTGGAGGGACAAGAAATATGGCAGCACACATTTAGTAAATGAGATATTTCATTTTTGGTCGTGGTCAATATGTGATGGTAGATACTTCTACTCTTTCACATATTTGATGCCTGTCTCCATATATTTTGTCCCTCCAAACGATCCCAGAATGCACTGTGATCTCTTTTGGGAAAAAGCTAATTGAGTATCTATTGTGTTAAAAATGAACCCAGAAGTCATCCATTACCACAGGACAAATTATGGTAGAAACGTATCTCTCGAGATGAGTTTTGCATGCTGTTTTACATGACATTTCCCCACATGTTTACTCCAAAGTAGTATAATGGCAGATATCTGTGAACAGCGCTATTTGAGATGAGTGGGTATGTATTGAACACTCACCATACTTTTGATAATCCAGGCCCTAGGAGCGAGCTCAGTCTACGCTGTTCACATTGATAATGGATTCATGCGTAAAAACGAGAGCCAGCAGGTTGTTGATTCTTTGCAAGCATTTGGACTAAACCCAACAGGTAAAATTCTGCTAATCTAAAATGCTAAAATACTACATACATCGACATCTCAACTCTCTCCATCATGAGGTTATCCCTCTGGATACCAGTCATGGCAACTTATATTTCAATATTGACATTTTCGGTATATGTACATTCAAATATTCACCCATTTTCTTTCTACATTTCATTATTGAGCGTTTTTCAATATACATTAGAAGTACATGTATGGAGTCCTGAGACTAAAGACCCTTGACGCCTCTGTCTGCTCCTTGTGACACCACCTGGTTGACTAATGAATTTCATTTCTTCGGTAGTTATAAATGCGAGCCATACATTTTACAATGCTAAAACACAACTTGCCTCGAACGATATGGATAATCCTGTAAAGAAATGGTATTCGAGAACTTTAAACATTACTTCTGAACCTGAAGAGAAACGCAGAATTATTGGAGACACTTTTATTCAGGTAAAGAGTGAATCAACAGTACGCGGGGGGGGGGGGGGGGG